TATCTGACAAGTGAATGGCTGCTCCCTATGTTTTGTAAGAGACCAGTGGAGTTACCAGGCTTTACTGGGATTTACATTCTCCTACAGCACTTAAGATTGTAAACCAATAAAGGTGTGGATTTGGCTTTGTTACACGACTTTCTGAAATGAATAGGGATAAAGAGCATGAATTATGTTGGTTTCTCATTTCTTAAGTGAAAAGCAAGCTCATACTTCAGTTTCCTGTTGGTACCTTTTACAGAAATTGCTCCAGAGACTGTTGGCTGCTGGAAAGCAGTTTGTTCTCCTTACCTGGTGTCTGCAGACAGCTGCAGTGTGCTCTGGCAGGGCTTATTTGATTCCTTTGTGTTGATCTGTAGTTTATTTGAACAGCTGGCATTTTTCTTGCTTTGTGTTTAATTTCTCTACCCTGGAGATTTAGAAGAACAGGATTCTTTGATTTGAGTGTATTTCTCTGTGTCTCACTTCCTATTTTAATTTACAGGTAATTGACATTATCTATTGATCTTTGAGGCTTATTTTCTCTTAAGTTTTTGGCACATTGGCCAAGTATTCTGCATGTGGTTCCCACCTATCTATTCATTAGCTATTACTTAGCGGTGGAAGAAAAAAAAAAAAAAAAACTTTGCTTATCAAATTGATTTTGACATCAATTCCCTGGTCAAAAAAACAGTCTGGAATCTCTTTAAAGAGCTATGGACAGTAAATCACCTGCCAAATTAAGAGGAAAAAACTGCTGTAGACAGCTCCATAACTCTGCATGAATTTTGAAGGTGAACAAGGTGGTCTTTGTTTACAAACTTCTGTTGCATCCTGTAATCACAAAATACACATTAAATTCAATATTGGTTTTAGATAATGTATGCAAAAATACTTTCCTCGCTTTCAAAACACCTGGCACTGTAAATATTTATGCTAATGGGACTTTCAGGTACAAGACTGTTCATTGCCCCTACTACTGACTCCGCTGGAATATTGTAAGAAGTTAATTTGCTTGTAAATGAAAATTTCCATCCAGCATGTTTAGTTGATCTGAGCAAACTTTTTTTTTCCTTTTTCTTTTTTTCTTTCTTAGTCAGTGCTCTAGAAAAATGCAAAATAGAAAAGAAGTGGAAATGCTTTGAGTTCACATTAATGTTTAAGTGTCTTTCCAACTGAATCCCAGTTACAAAAAGTCCGCATTTGTCTTGAATTGTGGTACCTTCAATAGTGTTTGAGTTTCTCATCAATAAACCGTATAAATTGGTTTTTTATATACTGAATTAAAATTTATTCAGAGGTGATATCACAATCTACTTGTAAAAATACTGCAAAAGGGAACAAAATTTTAATGTAGTTTAACAGTGCAGGTACAATAATCCAAATACTATAAAATATTTTTAAACATATTTAAAACAGATTGCATGTAAGAATTGAATGGCATTGACTAGTACTGATATTATCATTGAACACAGCCCATAGAATTACATATTCCTTTTTAAGACATAAAGTGGCAGCTATGTATTTTAAGAAATAGTAAGTGATCTATAAAACTAAATTTTGAGACAAAATGTAATTTTTAGTAGTCTTTTCTGAAAATTTTCTTTACATATTTTGGTTCCTTATCCAAGTCTTTAGTGTTTTCATAGAATACTGTAATATAAGCTTTGGATTTGATTTCTTAAATTGATTCAGTAATACCTTTTCTATATAGAAATGATACTTGAACCCTATTTTTATATTAGTTTTCATTTAAAGTTCTTTTTATGTGCTTACGTTCTGTTTGCCTTGAAAGTGTGAATTTGATATTTAACCATAGTTAGTCATATAGACATGAACAGCAGAAGAAAATAGTGAATTTTCATATAATAGTCTTAATCTGTATACATTTGGTCCAATATTGGTAGAATACTTTTGACTGATTCCTCTACAAATACTCAGTCAATGTATGTCATCAATTCATCACAGCTGGCCAAAAAGGTGGAATTGAAGAAAGAATGTTTTTTAATGTCTTTAAACAACTTCAGTTTACTTCTAAAACCTTAGAGATAGTAAGTACAAAGCCAATGTGAAAATTGGCTAGTGAAATTTCACATAGTGAAAATGCAGCCATTTCCAAGCTGACTGATGTTTACAAGTCACAGATTCATGACTCTTTGAAAGGCATTTCTACACAGCTCATACAATGGATGGTCTTGCTTTGCCGCCAGCTTCAAAGGTACAGAGTGGGATGCCAAAGTTTCTTATAAAAATATTGCAGTTGTGATGAAAGGCTCTGTTAATATGTCGGAGTTTCTTTCCCCTTCTAATTTTCTGTAGAGCTTATAGCTTTCACAGTGTTTCATTCTATAAGTCATAATTTATCTACTTTGTCATGAAGACCAACTTCCATTCATGACGAGAAGTGTTTTAAACTATCAGTGGAATCGCTTAGGAGTGGAAAGCGGAAGGATGAAAGTACTGTTAATGATTAGAATCAGCATATCTGTCCTATCAGGTCTAGTTTATGCTTTGAGAGTTAGCTTTGATGATATTCATAAGCAAAGGCTGAAAAAAATAAAGTTGGAAAAGCAAAAAAAAATTTAATTTTTCATGGTTTGATTTTTTTCCTGCAGTGTGTTTTACTGTAGTGCCTCCTGAGATTCCTTGTAATTTTCATGGTATTGCTCCATTCTCACTGATCTAAATGGATGTTGACATTTGAAGTTTGTTGATTTACCAAATGTCAGATAATTAGAGAGAAAATGAATTATATCCTACTTTCTCCAAATGAAAGTTAGTATCATATACTGATCTGGGATTATGAAAATGATAGTTATAACTGCCATTTTATAAAACTATTTTATAATGATCTTGTGAGTCTTCCTGTAGTCTTATAGAAGAACCTACAGTTTTATAAAATGCTTTTCCTTTTGCTTTTGATAAATAAGTACAGCTGCCGATAATTTTTTTGAGGGGGGGAAATTTTCTCCTAACACTGCAAAATGTCTCATTTTGTAAAAGGCTATGGTAGTCATTCTAAGAGAAATTGTCAAGAAATGGGGGGAAATTGATTCAAAATACAAAAGTGAAAGAATGCTTTTCTCTTCCTCTTTTAGTTCACAACATGCTAAAAACATTACTATGTGTGACTTCCTTTCCAGCCATTTTTTTATTAATAATTTTGCTCTTGCCGCTTGAGCCCTTTGCTAAATGTGAGTCTGTGGACTCAATAACTAATGCAATAATTCTTGTTCCTTTTGTTTTCCATTGTGTTTTGCTTGGCAGACCACTCTGTGTATTTGACATTCTGTAGGATTGTTTTCAGCCTCATGCACTAACAGCATTGATTTCATTCTTTATTTTAAAAAGATATATGCGTCTCTCTGTCCACACAGTCTGACAGCAAAGCTGCAGATCTGCCATACTGATCACCAATCATGCCAGGGTGCAGTTGGCTTTAAGGATTCCTTTCAAAACTTCCTACTGTTCCAAAGATAACTTTCCAAACTGTGGGGAAGAATTTAAGCAGGAGTTGTGGTTGAATATTGCTGAACTTCTGATCTTTCAGGCAGCTTGAAATATTATTTCTGAGATGGTTGGATGAGAAATTCCTCATTTATATGTAGTCATAGTAAGTTGGAATCCAAACTGTTAGCTTTGAAATGTCAACATCATTCTTTTTGAAACTTGTTTTCCATTTGCCTTTTGGGGACTTTTCTCTGGGCCTTGTGTTTTCACAAAAGTATTATCTATTCCAGGCTCTTGCTCATTTTTTTTTCCTTTGAGTAGCCTAGTAAAAACTAGCCCAAATTTCAGCTGAGAGCTCTAACTATGCTGAAGTATGAAGAATAATAATTTAAATTAAACTGAGTTGGTTAGGCAAAATAATGGTTAGGCTTTTCAGAAGAATATAGCAGAAAAGCTGGTTCCCATTCAGAGCACCCTTTCCAGACTTCATATTGGAAAGAAAAAGACCCATTTTCTCTTTAAGGCCATGGTCTTCCAAGTGTCTAAGCTATTTATCACAACTTGTTAGGTAGCCAGAGCTACAACTGCACCTATCCTGGCTGCCAAAATCTCCAACTTCAAACCTAACAACTTCTATAGTTATTCATAGGTTTGTTTTTTTTGATCTGTGACCTTCTGAAAATTTGTGGCAGCATGAAATTCAATTACTTACCTATCTAAATGAATAACAGAAGGGATTCTGAAGTGCTCAAATTTTTTTATTTTAACATAAATTTCATAATAGTTTTTTCTTAGTATATTTGAAGTTGGCTGGAAGCATCTTTCATTCTGTGTGCAACAGTGTTAGTGCTTTATCATTTTACACACACAAAAGGACTGTATATCGCACATATCACTCCTGTGATGATGAATGGAAGGTATCAAAATGTCAGCTGTTATATGCTGACAGCAAACAGCAAAGTTAGTTAAAGATGCTTTCAAAGAGTAGAAGTTTTACCTTTTTTTGGTTTTGTGTTGTTTTATATTTCATTAATTGTGCATCAGTAAATATATGTCACTTTTAATTATTTTTTTTTTTGGCTGCCTTCAGAGCACCCTTTTCAAAAAACCCTACTCTTTTTCAGAGAGTAAACCCTTAAGTTGAATAGAAGTCTTGAATCTGTTCATACATGGATTCATTTCTCCAGCATCTCCTGCTGGGAAGCATATGGTGACATAGCAATGTAGTGACTGCACCAGCTAGATTTATATGCTGTACTGCAGGATCAAGCAAAACCAGCCTTTTGTCATCCATCTCATTCTGGGAAATTAGATGAGACAATGTCCAAGTACTTCACAACTCAGTGTTTTTGCAGAACATGACAGATGTTCAGGTGATAGAATTAGGGACTGAGCACTTCCAGAAAGCTTTGCTGCTTCTCACAGTATGATTTTGTTCTTCTAGTAATTTTATTTTAGGGAATCCTTCTTCATAACTTGAAAAAATACCTAAGTGATAAAAATGTTGACTTGAAATTTCTTTTCCATTTGTATATAAGACTACATTGTGAAAACAACTCTTTTTTCCCCTCTTTTTTTTTTTTTTTTTTTTTTTAAATTTAATAATAACAGGTATTTTTAAATTGGTAGCCAAACTGCATTTTCTGTAAGTCTGCACAAAAATAAAGGAGCATTAAGGAAAGTGAAGCATAAGCTGTAAGGAAAACTTTTAAATACACTTTTAGGTTTTGAGTGAACACAGAGAACTAAGAAAAATTATTAGTTTTGTCATTGAATTAAGGGACAAGATAGAGTTTAATCTGATATACCGTTGTTTATAAGTAATACTTAAGACCTTGATTTAAGGTTCCAGATATTTATCAACTGGAACCTTAAATCAAGGTCTTGACAGTAGCTGTGATGGTGATTTCTTCAGCGTTTAAAACAGATTAGTTCTTCAATATATGTACAGGTAATTGTTGGGTTTTTTCTATATTTGTATTCTTTTCTATTCAGCCTTTTACTTACTAATCCCTTGTATTTTTCATCACTTTGAAAAAAAATTAGCAGAGCTCAGTGAGGGAAACACTCATGCACAATAAGAAGAGAAAATATTTCAATGTTTTACCACTTCATAGAAAATCTAAATAATGAAAATCTGGGGGAATAACAAAGATGCACTATAATATAAACTAAATATTAAATAGAAGAGAAACTGTAAAATGATTCAAAATGATAGTAGCAAAAGTTATTTTATAGTATTTTAGTCTTCAGACAGAAAATGTGATCTAGAAATGTTGGTATTTATCTTTATGCCAAAAGCACAATCCAACCAGAAAGCTAACCAAAAGTATTTTCATACTAATAAAAGATATTTTTGTTCTAGTTAAACTAACAATTTCTTCTGTATTTCTGAGATTTGTTGCTTGTGTTTATCTTTCCATCATCTTATGGCACTCTGTAAATCCAGTTTTATTCTTTGTTCATTTGATAATGCTTATGTACTTACTGTTAGTATAGATGGTAACCTTGAGAACATGGCTCCCAAATATACTAGAGTGATTGAAGATCCATCCTTTTAGCCAGATAAAGTACAAAAGCAAAACTCTGTCTATGATTGAGCATGAAAATCCTATTGAGTTTTAAAACTTCTGTGAATAACAAGTTTCTCATCTTCATTTGTAAAGAGTAAATTCAGTGTTGAATAGAGGATTAAGACTACTTTCAGAGTATGTAACCAAATAACTGATAATCTTTGATGTTTTCTTAGTTCTATAATAGCCAGTTTATAATCAGAGCATTTTGTTGTCAGCTCAGTGTCTTCTGAATTAGATTTACTGTCATTTGATAAAATGTGACTTTTTTAATAAGAAGAAAAAGGAATAGAATCTAATACAAGCAGCAATCTTTTAGGGTAATGACATCAAAGATAAGGGTACCCTGCTTCCATGAAATCAAGGGTGAAAGTCCAATACAGAAATCTGATTTGCTGTAGTAAGATTCCAGAATACTAATTCTAAGCCAAGGAAAAAGGAGTGAAACATAAAATGATGCTTGATGGCTTTCACTATCATAGCTATTCCTAGCAACTCTGATAATTATAATATATGGTTTCATTTTTACTTCTTAAATTCTGAAGAAGGTGCTATATTGATCACAATAATTGGCTTTCCATTTTTTCTCAGATAGTGTTGAAAAATGGGAGGAAAGGAGATGCATCCTGAGAAATAAAACCAATATAATTGATACAAATTAATCTTTGTTTTCTGCGCTGTATTCTTAACAATCTCTTTTCATTCTTGCTTGCATAGTGGTTGGCCTCACAGTGCTGAAATATGTGTCTCACAGTTGATGCCACAGCGTCCAGATTTTATAATTTGATTCAGTTTTCTTAGTTTTCTTTTCCATTCGGAACTTGTTAAGCAGTTACAATTTGGTTCCAAACCAGTTTTTGAGCCATTTTATGCTTTGCAGTAGGAATCATAAAAGTAAGCTCTCTTGTATTGAGATTGTAGGGTTTATTAAATGGCTCAGCTGGAGAGACAGGCTTTCTCATGATTTACAAAGCCTTTCTATGGTAGGATTTGCACTTAACTGTTATACTCCTTTTCATGCTAATTCTGTGATATTTACAATACTCCTAATCAAATGAAGTCAGATTTCTCATCATCCAACTTTCACTGACCTTTTTCTAACTCTTATTGAACACAAAAGCGCTCTCTGTGCTCCCCAATCCTCTCATGTTGTGTATTGGTTAAGACTGCTAACACACGTGTGAAACCTGGTGTACTAGTTCAAGCATTTTGTTGGATAGTTCTTTTTTCCCCTGCTGTTTTTCCAGCCTGGTATTTTTCCATAATGTAGAAAGATTAAGTAAGTTACCTTCAACTAATACAGTAAGGATTTTAAAAAACAAGTAATATGAAAATAGGCTTTTATTTCTATTCTTTCCCCCACCACAAAATGCTGGGATGTATGTACACAACTGAGGGAAAATTTTCAAAATTATTCAATCTTTCCTGCTGTCTGCTTTCATTAAAAAAGTAAAAACTGGTGAGAACAATATTTAACTAAATTCTGACTTTCTAAGAATTCCATGTGTAAGCTAAATGTATTTATTTAATAGGAGGAAAAGGAGATGCTAAATTGCAGAGTTTAAGTACCTAACAACTTAAAGTTTTTTTTTTTAGGTATTGCACTTAATTAAGAAAGTATAAAGTCAGGACCATGTAATGACAGTCTATGGTTAAAATATCCGCTTCCAAATCAGCGTAACTCCTCATCAAAGGCAGATTGAAAATAGCTTCTCTTTTTTATTGAACCCATGAATGCTTGGAGAAGAAATCTCCTAGCTTTTATACAAAGAAAAATCTGCTTTAGTAGCACACCTAATAATTTCCATTGATATAACAATGAGAAGTCAGGCTCTTAAATGGCATAGTTCCTGGAAAAACATATCTCTCTCAGATAATGTATTTAGCATTATTATATCACTACTCTGGGATAAAAATAAAAATTGGTAAAGAAAATTATGCAACATAAGGAATGAGTGCAAGCACTCAAAACATATCCTGGCACATTTCGGTCCTGGTTTCATTCAGTGTACAGGTATAGACCATGGAATAGTACCTGTGGCTGGATAACAATTTTCCTAAATGTATTTTCTAACACTGTGGGAACAAATAGCCCGAAGACATTACTAAAAATGTAAGCTCAAAAGTCAGTGCTTTAAAAATAGATCAGATGTGAAGTATGGGCAGCAGAAATGTCACAAAATTCTTATGAGTTTCCTGTTGAGTCTGCACCAGCTTATAGCTGCACACAGAATTCAAGATAGAAACCCTCAAGAGAGTTTATTTAATTATTATTTTATTTTAGTAATTTGTTACTCACATGTCTTAACAAGATAGGAGTGACTTCTCTTTAGGCTAACAGCAGTGAGCTTTGGCCTAAAACATTTACAATAATTGCTGAACTGTTACTGCGTACTGTATTAAACACTCAATATTATTACAGCTGATTGACTATATGAGAAAGAATAACAGACGAGAAATGAGGATCTGTGTGTGGGAAACGTGTCCCTAAATGATGCACAATACACACTCAGTATGTCTAAAATTTTTTCCAGTTTTCCCAGACACATGTTTTCTTTCCATGGCAAACACATATTCAAGTAGTGTTAGCTTTACTGTTAACAGTTCTTAATTCTCACTATCTTACTATAAAAACTGGAGTAATACAGCCAATACCTTATTTACCGGGAAGCCAATAAAATTGGAGACCCTTTAGACATTTCCAAAGGGCAGATGTGGTAGAAGTTAGAATAAAGGTATTGAGTATGGCAAGGAAGTTTCCTAAGAGCAAAAAGCTTTTTATTTCTGAAAATGGCGAAGTCAAATTCTTGCATTGGTTGAAGAGGGTACTTGCATAGAAGTGGTAAAAATGAATAGTAGAACTGCTGCAGATCTCATTGTAATAAATTTTGCTATATGATTTGAAATTCAGGTTTCCAGTTGACTGAGTTTACAGTATTGAATTTCCCTTCAGTTTCTGACTGAAATTATTTCATACTACCTCCATTATTTATTGCTATAAGGGTCATAAATTTTAACATATATATATATGTTATATAAATGATGCAGCTGAGATGAGCAGAGTCAAAATACCTTTAAAAATGAAAATATGTGACTGTGTTTTGATACCATGATACTGTTTTGTATGGGGAAAGCTCTTCTGCTAAATTGCTAAATTTTACTACTGGTATTAATATACACAGTATAAATTAGCAAGCCTAGAAAATATGTAGAACAGCAGTTCCACCCATGTGTAGCAAAATACTGAATTCCCTCAAATGATAGTCTCAGCTCCCACAGATATTTCCTTTTATTGTTTCAGGGCCCAAAACAACCATTACTTGCTTGACTACTCTTGCCATGTTATATCTGGCCTAAAATAGTAAGGTAAAGTTCTTAAGAAATGAGTGGCATAATTTGGGGGAAAGTGAAACCCAGGCCAAACTAACTTTCAGATAGCATTCAGAGAAGCTACTGGGTAGAGAGTAGGTTTTATTTTTTTCCAGTCCTTGGAGTCATGGGACACTCAGTTTCACATCTGAAACAACCTGTCTGTGACCTAATAATTCTCAGGGAATATTAGGTCACAGTCATCCAAAGTTCCTTTATCCTTCCCTCCTGAAAGAATGAAGGACTAAAAAACACCAGAGCACTCACATTCTTTTCAAGGCACAGGAGATGTTCTTGATATTTTTATAGTATTTTTGTTTAATAGTAGGTATCTCCTCAATATCATTGGATTTTGTTCATCATAGTTTTTACTGCATTTATTTGGGACTTTTTCTCTAAGTTTGAACTAATTTATCAAATTTTCTCTTCTTGGTGCAGCTTTGAATGTCCTTTTGGGTGGAAGTAATTTCTGGCTTGGGAAGCTGCTGTACCTGTAAATTAAGGCCATATAAAAATATGCCACACTGTAGCCATCTAAAAACTGGGTCTCTAGCCTGGTCTAATTACCTAAGTTCTGTTTCTGTTTATTATATAGGGAATGTTAGATGCTTCCAAAATACTTGTCCAGTTTAGGAAACGGTCTTGATGATTTTCCTTGTTAGGACCTTTGTGTTCAGATTGTGTATTGTATAGTTTATCTGTGTTGGATATAGGATTTCTTGGTCTTTTCTGTTGCCTTGAAATCCTAAGAGACTGTAATTTTCCCTTTCCAATTTGTAGTATAATCTTTCTGGCTACTGATACCGCCTTTGCTCACAGTTCCAAGGTAAATGCTGTGATCCTATGTGTGTAATCATGGAAACTTCTGCTGTGGGACAGTCCTCGCTAGCACTTCACTCTTACATGAAGTTCAGCGAGATATTTAAGGTAGAATTAGCTGATGTCTTTGCATAATATGCTACAAGTCTTTTTGTCTAAGGAAACTCCTCATCCTTGGTTAATGTTTTAATAATAAGCTCTTGAAGGTAAATTATAGTGCTATAAAATCTTGTTTCCTGTCTCCTCTCTTGGGTGTGGTTTTTTTTTTTTTTTAAATTATAGACTGGGATCAGCTTCAAATCCATCTTCAGCAATCCTGTGGATAATGTTTTATCTAGGATGTTTCATGGCAACCTCAATTTCATCAGTACTTGTGTCTTTATAGTTTTTATGCCAGATCTGTATGATTTAAATACTCATATAAAAAGTCACACTTGTCTTGATATGTGAAAACTGGGTCCTGTGGGTCCTGGGCTACTGCTTCTATAAAAAGGGTGAAATTTATGTCAATAAATACTTTTCTAAAGACTCCTCAG